CAGCGTCACCTTCGACAACGGCACCGAGTTCGCCCACCACTACCGGCTCCACGCCCTGGGTATCGAGACCTTCTTCTGCGATACCCACTCCCCCTGGCAGAAAGGGGGCGTGGAGAACGCCATCGTCGCCTGCGTCGTAACCTGCCCCGCAAGACCGACCTGGCGACCCTGTCGCCGTGTCGGTTTGCCCAGCTGGTGCAGGCGTACAATAATACCCCTCGCAAATGCTTGGATTACCTAACCCCAGCCGAGGTCTTTCACAACCAACTGTTGCACTTCAAATGTGAATCCATCTTCCCGCTTTCGCGGGAAAGATAGGAGCAATAGAATCAAAATGCGATTGCCCTGCATTGACTGGACGCAAGCACGGGCTTCACCCTCACTCTCCACTCTCCCCTCAAGGGAGAGTGAGGTCGTTGTCGATGCCTGGCACACGTCCATCGGGACGGGGTTCACCCTCGCCCCAACCCTCTGCCGTCGAGGGGGGTTGGCTAACGGCTGCGTAGGGCGCGGCCGGGGAGGGCTCCGGTGTGCTGGCCGTTGTCGATGACCAGCTGGCCATTGACGCACACGTAGTCGATGCCGACGGGGTATTGGCCCGGGTCGTCGAAGGTTGCCGGTGTGTCGACGGTGTGTGGGTTGAACAGCACCAGGTCGGCTTTAGCGCCGTCTCTGAGGGTGCCGCGATCAACCAGACCGAGGCGTTGGGCCGGTGCGCCGGTCATCTTGCGGATGCCGGTTTCCAGAGAGAACAAACCTTCGCCACGCACGAACTGCGCCAGGACATACGGATACGTGCCGTAGGTGCGCGGATTGGGTCGGCCGCCGGTCATGATGGCGTCGGTGCCAATCATCTGAGCTGGGTGAGACGCGATTTCGCGGATGTTTTCCAGGTTGCCGGTGCGTGCTACGAAGGCCACCTGCAACTGTTCTTCGAGGAGCAGGTCACAGACGGCATCGACCATGCGACCTCCGCGGTGCTGGGCCAGCTCTTCCAGCGAACGACCTTCCCATTCCTTGTTCTTGTCCGAAGCAATATGCGCGAAGATGTAGCTGTCCAACGTCTGGCCGCCCCATTGCGGTTCCACGGCACGCACCATGAGGTTGCGAACGTTGGGGTCAGCGATACGGGTGAGCAAGCCTGGGACCCCGCATCACCCCGTACTGTACGAGCAGCGGATAGTGCATGGTGTGCTGGCCGCGGGGTAGGGATACTGGTCATAGGTGATATCCTGACCGCGGCTGAGCCCTTCATCAACTAGCGCAGTCATCTCAGCGCCCAAGCCGGCCACAGGACTGTGGTAGTGGAGAGATGTGCAACGGAGCGCCGGAGCGCCGGCTAATCTCACCGCCTCGCGGAACGGGTCGAGCAGGCGATCGCCGAGGGTATAGCGGGCGTGGGTGCAGTAGAAACCGCCCTCCTGAGCAGCGACGGTAGCGATGGCCGCCAGTTCGTCGGTGTTGCTGTAGGCGCCGGGGGCGTAGGTGAGACCGGTGGTAAATCCAAATGCGCCGTCTCGCATCCCCTGGCGCGTCAGTTCCTGCATCTCAGCAAGTTCGGCGTCGGTGGGCAGGCGGGACGACCAGCCCATGGCGGCCACACGGATGGCGGCGTGGGGCACGAAGTGGACGACATTGCAGGCGGCGCTGCCGTCGAACAATGCCAGGAAGTCGGCGACGCTGCTCCATCTCACATCCGGGGGCGTGCCGTTGACTGCTGCCAGGTACACCAGGAGTTGCTCCAAACCGCGCGGCGTGGTGGGAGCGTAGGACAGGCCATCCATGCCCAGGGCCTCCGTGGTTACGCCCTGTCGGATTTTGGCCTCGTGGGCTGGGTCTGTCAGCAGCATCAAGTCGGAATGAGAGTGCATGTCGATGAAACCGGGGCAGATGACGTATCCGCTCGCGTCGACGGTCCGGGCGGCGTCGATGGCCGACACGTCGCCGGTTACAATCTCGATCGTGTCGCCGGTAACTGCTACGCTGGCGCAATAGCCTGGCGCTCCGGTGCCGTCGATCAGTTGTGCGTTGGTGAAGAGCAGGTCAACCATGTTGGAACTCCGTGAACAGGCTGCTAACGGTATGTTTCGGTGCGGGAATAATACACCGACCCGGTCGGGCAGCCATAGTCGAGGCGGCCATGATATGGAGATGCGCCGGGCTGCCGGGCTCCCACGTCGGATCGCGTTAAGGCGAAGTGATGAGCGCGGCGTTATGTATCCTAGTTCGCCATTGGAACGATAGACGATATGGCACGCTAACGCCACGAAACGATTCCAATTACGCAAATATTAGATAGTTCAGCGAGGATTTGCTTCGTGATTCGTAACGGAACATCATTTGTGGACGTTTTTCAGGATTTGACACTCCAAATCAGCACGGCTAGACTGCGAACAATTCAATGCAGGTCTGCACGCCCATTAACCTGCCCTTAAGCAAGGAGGCCACATGAGTGCAGCCGCGCTTACAGCGCACGAGATACCGTCGGAACCAGATTCTAAGCAGTCCCGCGAATTGCGGGACAGAATCTCCGACACTAACATTCGCGGATCCTCAAGGCACGCACAAATGCGGCGGTTCCGCTCACGGTGCAAGCACCGGCTCCCCTGCGAGCCTTAGCTGCTGCACGCTAAATTGAGCTGCAGGAGTAGCGCCCTGCTATAAGCTCGCCTCTGCCCGGGTTGGTTGTTAGAAGGTACGCCCAGGCACTCGGGTCGATTAAAGTCGGTCCGAGGATAGCCTGTCCTTCCCTAACCTGGAGCAATCCCGCCATACGATGCCGGTTGTTGCCGGCTGCCGTGCGAAGTGGCGTGCGCGCACGGGGAGAACCTGAAGGAGAACAATATGCGCGAAATATTAAGATCTAAGATTCACCGATGTTGGGTAACCGGATCCAATCTGGATTACGTTGGAAGCATCATCATTGATCGCGAACTGATGGAAAAAGCCGATATCTGGGAGTTTGAAAAGGTAGTCATCTGTAACGCCAACAACGGCAACCGTTGGGAAACCTACGCCCTGCCCGGCGAACGCGGTAGCGGCACGATTTCAGTGCAGGGCCCGGGTGCCCGTATGTGTCACAAGGGCGACTGTCTGGTCATCCTGTCTTACGAGGTTACCGACCATCCGGTGGAACCGCGCATGATCCTGACCGACGAGAACAACCGATTCCTGGAATATATTGAAGGGGCGATGTATGCCGAACCCGCGTCGATTTTCTGAGCGCGAGACGGAAGAGTACTACGACGCCGAAGATGCCCTGTACCGGTCCTTCTGGGATTCAGAGGGTAGCCTTCACTGGGGTATATTTGACAAGTCGTCCGACGAGTCTCCGGCCGGCGATTCCGGGAACGTGCGGGCCGGTTTCCTGTCGGCCTGTTCGCGTCTGAACGAGATAATGCTGGCCAATGCGGGCATCGATGGGGATGCTAGGGTGCTGGACCTGGGGTGCGGCAACGGCAACACCGCCATGTGGCTTAGTCGCGCTACGGGAGCGAAGGTTACCGGGGTAGATTTGAGTGGGGTTCGCATTGCCAACGCAATTGAATCGCTGCAAAAATCCCCTGATCTGGTGAGCCGCGTGGAGTTTCACAAAGCCTCGGCTACTGACCTTCCCTTTGCGGACGGTACCTTCACCCACGTCTGGAGTCAGGGCCACCATCTATCACATTCCTGACAAGGCCAAGACGTTGCAGGAAGCGTACCGGGTATTGCGGCCGAGCGGTACCATGGTGTTTGACGACCTGATCAAACCGAAGCCCGACATCAGCGACGAGGCGCGTGCCTTTGTTTACGACCGGCTGCTGTTCGATACCGATTTCAGCTTCTATTCCTATATGGATGCTTTGCGCGAAACCGGATTCCGGGTGCTGGAAGCGCGGGACCTGTCGGCGCACCTGGCTCGCAGCTACGGATGCCTTTCCGAAATGGCTGCGTCAGCCGACGATGCCGCGCGGCAGGAACGCTTTACCGCGCTGTCGGATGCGTACCTGAAGATGGTGAACGCCGTGCAGAATGCCGAACTGGGCTGGGCGCAGTATCTTTGCGTGAAGTAGCCCCACCCTGGACCCGCAACGGAGTCAAAACTGCGATGCCTGACCTGGAAAACGTGGACTCGGAACAGCGAGTCCAATGGATTTATTCGTCCCGAAATAACCAAGAACTGGCCGAACGGTATGACGTGTGGGCCAAAGATTACGACCAGGATCTGGAAGATACATTCGCCTGGGTGGGTCCACGGCGCGCCGCCGAGGTGCTGGCGAACCATGTTCCCGCCACCGCTAAAGTGCTGGACGCCGGCGCCGGAACCGGACTGGTTGGCGTTGAGTTGCAACGGTTGGGATTTGCGATATCTGCGCCATGGACCTGTCAACCGGCATGCTGGATGAGGCGCGAGCCAAGGGATGCTATAACGATTTTCGGCAGATGACTTTGGGCGATCACCTGGATTTCCAGTCGGGAACATACGACGCGGTAATCAGCGTAGGGGTGTTCACGCCGGGCCATGCCCCACCGCAAGCGTTTGAAGAGTTGTGCCGCGTAACCAAATCCGGCGGGCACGTGGTGTTCAGCCTGCGCCCCGATGCCCACGTCGAACTGGGGTTCAAAGAGCAACAGGAAAAGATGGTGGCCGACGGCGACTGGAACCTGGTATCCGTAACCGAACCGTTTGCCGCGTTGCCCAAGGGTGAACCGGACGTCATGCACCAGGTTTGGGTATATCGGGTCCCGTAGCCAACTGGAATCCCTCCGGGAGAATCGCTCCGGCATTGCCGAACGCGGCCGACCACAGGTAATGAAAACCCCCAGGCTTGTCGGCCGGGGGTTTCAATTTTTCAGCTTGCAATCCGCCAGGAGGTTATTCCCGGGTCTCCATGGGCAGTCCCTGGGCCATTGCCTCCAGGATGCACTCCTGGCAACGGTCGCCGGTTTCATGGCCGGTGGCCGGGAAGATGTCGTTACCCCTGAGGCCGCACAAGAAGAATGGCTCCACCTCTTCGATGCCGAGGCTTTCCAGGTAGTGAACGAAACCTCGTTTGTTGGGGTTGTCGTACCACCACGGGGTGATCGATTGGGCCAGAGCGTGGATGTTCTCCTTGAGTCGTCGGTATAGTCATCCAGATTGTCTGGAACGTCCACCATCCAACGAGAACCATTGGGGCCGCCCTCTTTGGACGCCTGCAACTTGCCGTCGCGGACATCGCGGCGAATCACGTCCTGTGAAACGTTTAGAATTCGTGAGGCTTCCTGAATAGTAACCCGGGGCATATTGTACCTCTACCAAGCAGTTGTTGGTCTGCGACTTTCCTTATTTCTACCATCATCGGCAGGTAGTGGGCAAGTGGGTGGCGCTTGTTGACCTAGTGGGCCGTGAGCATGGTGCGTGGGTCCTCCAGGGTGTCGCCGAGTGACCCTCCGGGGGGTACCATCGGATACACGTTGGTTTCGCGCTCCACCACGAACTCGATGAGGAATGGGCCGTCGTAGGCCTTGGCCTCCTGCAACGCGTTGGCCACGTCCTCCTGATGTTCAACCCGCAGAGCCGGGATTCCATAGGCGTCGGCCAGTTTCACGTAATCGGGCCCGGGCAACGGAACATCCTTGATGTGGCCGTCGAAAAACATTTCCTGCCACTGGCGAACCATGCCAAGATAGCCATTGTTGAACAGGGCGAATTTTACGGGGAGTTTTTCCTCCACGGCGGTGATCAGTTCCTGCAATGTCATCTGGAACCCGCCGTCGCCGGCCACCGACCACACGGTAGCGCCCGGTCGCCCCAATTGCGCTCCCAACGCAGCCGGCACCTCGAATCCCATGACGCCCAACCCGCCGGAGGTTACGAAGGAGTTGGGCTGATTCAAGAACAGGTACTGCGCCGCCCACATCTGATGCTGGCCCACGCCGGTGACCACGACTGCGTTTTCGTCAGCCTGGATCATCTCGTTCATCTGGGTCAGGACTTGCTGGGGCATCAGCGCGTCGCTGGCCGGGATGGCCAGGGAAGGATGATCCTCGCGGAGGCGATTCACTGTGGCAGCCCACTCCGGGCGGTCGACCCAATGCACCAACGGGAGCAACGCCTGCAGCACAGGTTTGGCATCGCCGACCAATGGCACTTCAACGGGAATTGTCCTGCCAACCTGGGAGGCCTCAATATCCAGATGGATGATGCGGGCGTGAGGAGCAAACCCGGACACCCGCCCGGTAACGCGGTCGTCAAATCGCATACCGAGTCGATGATGACATCGGCCTGATCCACCACCATGTTGCACCAGTACATGCCGTGCATCCCCAGCATACCGAGGCTTTGAGGGTGATTGCGCGGGAAGCCACTCAATCCCAACAGCGTGTTGATGACCGGCACGCCGGTGCGTTCGGCCAGGGTTTGCAACTCTTCGAAAGCCTTCGACTGCACGATGCCGTGGCCAGCGATGATTACCGGCCGTTCGGCTTCGTTGATAATGTCGGCGGCCTTTTGGATATTGGTCAACGTGTCATCAGGCAGCACCGGGATTTGGGGCGCGACCCATGGTGTGTACTCGAACTCGGCTTCTTCCAGTTGCACGTCCCGGGGCACGTCGATCAGAACCGGTCCGGGCCGGCCTTCCTGCGCCACGCGGAAGGCATCGCTGATGGTGCGGGCCAGGTCGGCTGCAGAGAGCACCAGATAAGTGCGCTTGGTGCACACCGCGGCGATGCTACAGATGTCGCACTCCTGGAATGCTTCCGTGCCCATCGCGGCGCGGGCAACCTGACCGGTAATTGCAACCAACGGCACGCTGTCGCCCTTGGCGCTCATGAGGCCAGTAATGAGGTTGGTAGCGCCCGGGCCGGATGTGGCAACGCACACCCCCGGCTTGCCAGACATGCGGGCATAGCCGTCGGCAGCGTGGGCCGCCGACTGCTCGTGTCTGACCAGCACGTGGCGCAACTGCGGGTATGACCAGAGGGCGTCATAAAAGGGCAAAATTGCTCCGCCAGGGTGGCCAAAAAGCACCTCAACGCCTTCGCGCAAAAGGCTCTCACAGATGATTTCCGATCCTTTCAGCTTCACGGTGTATCTCCACACAGTTTCGTTCTGCCTGCCAGACCGTAACGTCAGGTGGCCGATTCCCGAGCGAGCCAATAAAAAAGCCCGCCCCCCATAGGGACGGACGAAAATCCGCGGTACCACCCTATTTGCCAACTGGCCGTTTTTTGTATAACGACCGTCAACCTCTCCAGCAGGACACCATCATGTCCCGTCGCTTCTAACGGGCGACGAACCCGACCTGAGCTTATTCACCGCTAGTATCCGATAACGGCTTTCTGCCGGCAGCTCCAGAGTGATTTTCAGTGGGATAAGTGCGCCTGCTTTCACCGAACCAGGCTCGCTACTGCACTCGCAGCCTGCCTACTCGTCTCCATCACAGCTTTTCAAATAGACTCTATCACGCTGCCAACCAGAACGTCAATTGAAGTATGTTAGCATTTGTTGCGACAGATCTGACGACGCCCGAAACGGCCACCCATGGACATGACCACGTCATACCTCTCACGTATTCGCGGCGTTCCGTTACTGACCCGGAGAGACGGTCAGCGCCATGTTGGATGCCGGTGTCGGATTGGTCGCCGAACCGACCGCACGTGGACATATTCTCGTTGCAACCGATCGACGGCTCATCAGCGCTACAGTCGGGCCGCAAGCCAACGCTACGGAAATGTATGCCGGCGACTCCATCAGTGGGCTGAGCGATTCGGGATGAATCAAGGCGCGGGCTATCCTGGCGGCAACGCGTCATGCTCGTGTCGGCGGTGCACTGATCTACCTGGTGCTGGCGTACTGGTTGGTGGACAGACTGCCCGGCCCAGTCATTCCAGTAATTAACATACACGCGGTTGCGCTGGTGCTGTTGGCGCTGACCGTGATTATCGGAGGGTTGATCTGGCGGGGAGCGACTACTACTGCGGCGGCGGCAGCTGCGAATAACCGGCGTTGGCTGGGTTATCGAATAGCTTCCACGGCGCCATCGACCGACTGATTGCATTCGCTACCGTCCTGATTGAATCGCAGGAGGCGGGCAGCGGTTCAACGACCGAGGCCGGCCCCCGTTGAGCGTATCGTTATCGGTGGTGATAACACGCTGTAGCGTCGGGGACCAACCGCGAAATCAACGGTGCGCACGGGTCCAGCGGGCACACAGGGCTGGGAGTTAATGTTCCTGCACCTGCCCGAAAGGCAACGACGGGTCGATGTCTAAAGCCAGGTCGGAAACCTCACCACGGCGGTACTGGTAGAAAGCGCTGGCGGCGATCATGGCGCCATTGTCGGTGCACAGCACCGGGGGCGGGATGACCACGGGCAGGGTGAGTCGGCGAGCACACGCTGTCGCAGCCGGGCGTTGGCAGTTACACCCCCGCCGAGTATCAGACCACGGGCGCCGTATCGTTCGGCCATGTCCAGCAGCTTGGCAGTTAGCACATCCACCAGCGACTCTTGAAATTCGGCGGCGAGGACGGCGACCAACCGGCTGGTGTCCACCCCAATGCTGTCGGATGGAGGATACAAGCCGACGCGCTGGGCACGATGCAACAACGCCGTTTTTACACCGCTGAAGCTGAAATCCAGGGTGCCACGCATCCAGGCTCGGGGGAGCGGCGCTGTCGCCATATCCAGTGTTTCGTCGAGGCCCGGTTGATGCTCGATATCTTCCACGCTGGCGGCAACTCTTTGAATCTCGGGACCGCCGGGGAAGCCGAGCCCTAGCACTCGAGCCGCCTTGTCGAACGCCTCACCGGCCGCGTCGTCCCGGGTACGCCCCACCAGGCGGTAATCACCGTGGCCCTCCATGAGGATCAGGTCGGTGTGTCCGCCGGAGGCTACCAGGCAGGCCAGGGGGAAACCCGGCTCCTCCGCTGGAGACAAGTCGGCCGCGGCCAGCCAACCAGCGTAGATATGCCCCTCCAGGTGATTCACGCCGATTAGCGGCACACCCAGCGTCAGCGAGATCGCTTTGGCAGTGTTGACGCCGCTGATGAGAGAACCCGCCAATCCCGGTCCGTGGGTCACCGCCACGGCGTCGATTTCATGCAGGCCCACCTCGGCGTCGCGCAGCGCCCGTTCCAGGGTTGGCTGCATATCCCGGATGTGTTGGCGGGAAGCCAGTTCCGGCACCACGCCGCCGTGTGGGGCGTGCAAGAACGCCTGTGATGCAATCGCGTTGGCACGCAAAACCCGGCCATCAGCCACGATTCCGACGGCGGTTTCATCGCAAGAGGTTTCGATTCCGAGGATAAGCATAACGATTCAAAGGATAACACGCTGAGACCGAACGGCAGGCAACTTTACGCTAAACGGTGGCGATGTTATTCTTTTCAGTAATAATCAAATCGTGCGGGCGCCGTGGCCATATTGCGACGCCCAGCAGCGACCGGAGGTGCATTACCCCGATGCTGGACATTCGTCCGATGGCTTATCCAACTGGGTTATTCTGTTGCAGACTGGAGACGCGAGCGGCGGTTTCGCGTTGCCTCTTGGTCTGCAATTGGCGTTTCTGATCATCAGTTTCCTGGGGGTCGTTTTTTTCACCAGCGCCGAGGCGGCGCTGATCGCGGTGAACAAAATCCGCATCCGGTTCCTGTCGGAACAGGGACACCCAGCGGCGCGCGTGGTGGATCGGGTGCTGGGCCAGCACGAAAAGTTCTTTGCGACAATTCTGCTGAGCCAAAATGCCTTCACCATTTTCGCTACTGCCATCGGAACGGCGATGGCAGCGGAATGGCTCCAGGATTCGGGTTACGCGCGCCTTGCTCACAACGGTCGTCATGACGGTGGTCATTTCCATATTTGGCGAAATCACACCGAAAACGGTGGCGGCTACATATTCGGAACGCTGGTCGCTGATTGCGGTACGTCCGGTGTCCCTGATGATGACGCTTTCCACGCCGTTCATATACATTTTCACGGTTGTGCCCCGGCTGATCTACAAACTGCTCAGGACGCCATCCGACAGTTGGCAGACGACCTTTACCGAAGGCGAACTGCGAATGATGATTGACGTATCGCGGCAGCAAGGTCAGATGGAGTCGGAAGAGGCACAAAGGCTGCACCGGGTATTCCACTTTCGCGACCGTCGATTGGCCGAGATAATGACACCGCGCACCGAAATTGTCTGGATCAAGAAGGGAACCACCATGCAGGAATTCCTGGAAATTTATGCGGAACATAGTCACACCAGATTTCCGGTTTACGAAGGGACTCAGGAAACCGTGCTGGGAGTGTTGTCCAATAAAGAAGTGCTGATCGCGCAGGGCAAGGGGCAAACCGGCCCCGACCGCGCGGTTACCGACGATATGCGAGAGGTAGACTTCATCCCCGAAACCGTGACTATCGCGGACGCCTTCGATACGATGCAGGAGAAACGCGTTTCCATGCTGATGGTAACCAACGAATATGGCGGGATCGCCGGTCTGGTTACCCTCAAACAGTTGACGGGCGTCATCGTTGGAACCATGGTGGACGAGGATGCGTCTTCGGAGGAAGCGGACGACAGCCTGGTGCGCACGGACGACGGGGCGTTGATCGTGGATGGCGGCATGACCATTATCGAGTTCAACGACCGGCTTGGGGAAGAGGGACTGGCGTTGCCGGAGGGCGACTATCGCACCGTCGCCGGACTGGTGATTGCGGAGTTGGGTGAAATTCCAGACGAGGAAGACGCCGTGCTGGCGGGAGACCTGGTGGTTACGGTTACAGAAATGGCCGGCGCGCGGATCAATCGCGTCCGGTTGGAGCGTCTCCATGGCGACCTCACGGGGGATTCCGCATGAAGCTGCATCTGGTGCGGCATGGCGAGACCGACATCAACGCCTCCGGCAGGTTGCAGGGAGTTACCAACTCGATGCTCACGCCTCGGGGCCACCGGCAGGCTCACGACATGGCTGTAGCCAGCCTGACCTGGCAGCCCACGGCGATTTATTCCAGCCCGTTGAGCCGCGCGCGCGATGTGGCCGAACGGCTGGCCGACTATTGTGGCCTCGAAGTGATTGAAGAGCCGCGCATTTCGGAAATGGACATGGGCGACCTGGAAGGCATCACGGTGCAGCAGATGCGCGACGATTGGCCGGACCTGTACGCCGGCTGGCGTCAGGACGCGCCCAGCGTAACTATGCCCAACGGCGAATCACTGTACGACGTGCAACGGCGCGCAATGGCAGCGTTTGACGACATCAATGGGCGGCACAAAATCGACGAAACGGTTATTGCGGTTACGCACAATTTCACCATCCGGTGCATAGTGGCGGACATCATCGACCTGCCATTGGCCAACATAAACCACATGGACCTGTCCCTGGGCAGCCGGACTACCGTCAGTACCGGCCCGCGCGGGCGGCGTTTGAGCGGGTACAACGCGGTTGATCACCTCTCGCCGGCCAATCGCACCGCATATTAGGGGGCTACCCGCCATCAGCCGAAAGACCTTCAGGCGCGGCAGTAACGACAGATTCTGGCCGACGATGCAAATGTACATTTTGGGACGAACCGCAATACGTCGGGCCAGGCTGGGGATCGGCGATGTCGTGGTGGTCGGAGTGTCGGGCGGCCCGGATTCTTGCGCCCTGATGCGGATGCTGAGCGTCGCCAGGAAGTATGAAGCTTCACGTTGCAACCGGCCCACCTGATTCACGATTTTCGCGGGCAGAAGTGTACGATGACGCAGAATTCGTCCGCCAAAGGTGGCCCAACTGCATCATAGATGAGGTGGACGTGACGGCCTATCAAAGGGAACACGGAGTAAGTTCCTTTGAGCAGGCCGCCCGGGATTTGCGTTACGGGTTTCTCGCGCGCGTGGCCAGACGGGTTGGCGCCAGGCTGGTGGCCCTGGGGCACACCGCGGATGACCTGGCGGAAACCGTCTTGCTGCACGTGGCCCGGGCAGCGGTATGCACGTGCTAAGGGGCATGAGCGAATTTGATGACTGGCCTTATCCGGAGGAATCGGGCGCCATATCTGCCGGCCCGATCAGACGCCGCAGGAGTCGCCCCACGAATTGAAGGTTTGGCGGCCGC